AGTGAAGTAGCCACATATTTGAAGACAGAGAACTTTCCTATAAACTGTCTCTTCTTCCAGAGGGAAGAAATTCAATGATTAAAAAAAAAAAAAAAGTAAGAAACCTACTTTGTCAGCAGCTGTCTCAGGAAGAGACTCTTCAATGCCAAGTTCTCGTCGTCTTTCAGCCCTAACTTCTGCATAACTACAAATAGAAAAATTAAATTTCAGCATTTAGCATTTAAAATGCCCAAAAGTTGCAATCCTTCAGGGTTTGCTTTGCCTCAAGTCTTCATGTCTACTGCTGGGCTAGCTTCTGTGCTCTATGAACACCTAAGATATATCTATACCGTCATTCAATCTGCATTTTTTGAGATCTTTTACAGTTTTAGATGTTACTGCAAATTAGCTGTTATCTACACAGTACTTAAACTAAGAACTAAATAAAAGGAGAATATATACTTATCCATCTATTTTGATCTCTTTTTTATAATGATTAACTTTGGTACAGAAAGTAGTTATACTTCTTGCTCTAAGATATAAAATAAGTCAAGAATTTTACATGCTATATAATCCCTGTATTATAATTCTCCATAATATTTAAGTGAATTTATTATTTGAGGGGGCTTCTAAAAGTTCATGGAAAATGGAATGAAAACATACTAGATTTTAACACAAACTTTTTGATGGCCCTGTAGTTCATTAACTAGTTAAGCATTAAAATTACATTGTCAAATCATTGTAAAATGTTAGCATAATTCAGAAATTCTCTAAAAGATTTAGTACCTTACTACAGTGTGAGTACAAACAATAAATTCTGGCCTTGAATTCCACTGATGATAGGTGATATAATAATGAGTTTGAAGCCAAATCCACTGTTGCCCTTTGGTCAGGAACCTATAATAACAGGATTTACCTTTCCCATATTGCATTACTAAGAAGAAAAGAGAAACATTTTTAAAAATTCATATTATTAGCTAATAAGAATCTAAAATTTCTAACCAAAGACTATCATTTACATTTAGTTATAAATAAAACGATTTTTATGGCTTTTCAAGAGCATACACATTAATTACAAAAACGTAGTAAACGTAGAGAAATAGTTTAAACACCAAGCAGTTAATAGATCTTCCACCAAAGTGCCCAGCATATCACCAGCTGTTGCTATATGCCAAGTTGTTGCCATATACAAGCAGAGAAAGGCCTCTCTTAAATACTAATCTTACATATACTTTTCATACACAATACAATTCCAAATGCTCAAGAGCAAATGACTCACTTTGTTGATCTCTTCCTGCCCTAGATATGCTGAGAGTAACTTAGCAATAAGTAATCACACCAGGATCACAGCCTGCCTTCCCTTGCCTCCCCACCAGGTACTTTGAGACATTTAATTATAAACCTTAACTAAGCCAAATCAGAAGATGTAACTTAATTGTTTAATGTAATTATTAAGCAGAGTAGTTGCCAAAAATGCTCAACAGACTATAAATTCTGAATCCTTTTAGTGGATATTAAACAAAAAGAGAGGTCTCTAATTAAATTAATTCTGAGAAGTCGTTGCTTAAATGCAACTCTTTAATCTTCTCAAAACCTTGAGTATGCTAAGATATGCCAAGATTCTACAAAATAGAGATTATGATGATTTCCAGACTTCAGTGACCACAAAACACTTTCTTAATGGACTGGCTTTCAGTGGAACACAAGGCTCATCTGGAATCTCTCCCTTTTGTTTTCGAATGAGAAAACCATCATTAAGTCACTTGTTCAAAATTAGCCTACTAGTTAATAGGTGTTATCAGGTCTTTTCATGAAACCATATCATCATTTGGAATGAATAATGATTTCTTTTGTGCTGAAGTGAGTTTACTCTGAAAATTTCCATGTGGATGATGCTACTACAGAACCTGCTTTATTTTCATATATACTTTCCTTATAGGACTAGCATTAGACCTAATGAAACTATTTTAACTGTCAAATTAAGCTTTAGAGGACACCGAAGAGAACAGAATTTTAGGGGTGAGGGAAACACAGAAGCAAATAAAATGCATCATTAGGAACATACGTCTGAGACAGAGACTAAGCAGCAGAGTGGGTGGGCCTAGATTCTAAGCCTGGCTCTATCATCCTAAAGCTGTTGGGTTATGGATAAATTCGCCTCACTGTGTCCCAGCTTAGTCAGGAAAATAATAATTGTACCTTCTTCTGGAAATCTGGTGACAAATAATGGAGCTAATCAGATGGTAATGTTGCTGCTTCTAATATCAACTAACTGTGGGTCACACAAAACACTATTTTGAACTTTCTAATCTAAATGTATATCTATGTTTTCAGCTGACTTACATACCTAGAAATGAAAATTTATGAAGCAATATTCTAACAGTCTCACACAAGATTATATTTGCAAAGGAATCTACTTTACTTATTGCAGATACAGAGTATATACACTTCAGAACATTTATTATATGCCATAGTACAAAATAAAACAGGTACAATAGGAAAGTTTACCTAAACTTGCTCTATAATTCCTAGTGAATTGATTATACACAAATAAATATTTTTCAAAAATACAACAGTACATTTCAAAACTACAAGATGTTAAAAATTTGTAATTTCCCACTTGCTATTGATAGAACACTAGTAAGAATATAGGACAGAGATAAGATTTCTGCTTTTATGATTTAAAAATTATTACAACCAGAAATATTAAAATCTACTTACAGTGCTCATGACATTTTGCCAAATTTTCTAGGTCATCCACATGATAGTAATCATAACCTGATGTTCCCAGAACTTCAAATGGCAAATATCCTATTATGGGTGGTGCCCTAAATTACATATAAGATAAGCAATATTGTAACTTTTCTGCAACAAGATATACTCTAACAGAATTAATTCTCAAATTGGCCTTTATTTTTTGAAAACTAGGTAACAAATTTGAAAATCCTCATTAGGAAAAAAATTGCCCATGAAACCCATTCATTTCCAAAATTCTAAGATGACTATTACCCCCCCTTAATGGAATTTTAAAGGAGTTACCTGTGATCTAGAAAAAGAAATTTCCATTCTAAACTATGTCTAGAAGTAAACTCTTCATTGAGCTCTTCAACGGTACACATTTCCTACAAACAAATTAATAATTACAATTTAGAAAGACTTTTATGTAAGTTAGAATTGTCCTTAGAAGACTTAATGATTGTTTGGTCACTATTAGATAGCTTTTCACCTAAACAAGTTATAAATGCATTTTAATTTTCTAGTATTAAAGATTATGGCAGTTAAATTTAGATGTAGGATTTTGGAGTACTTTCCCTTCCAAAGCCATGTTGTCATTTACTCATATATACCAACAAAACTTGGCTCTGAATTCAGTTATCTTTCCTGAATGATAGAGTTCAACATTTTTGTCTACTTGATTCTCCTACTTGGATGTCTCCATTGCATCTTAAATATATTATGTCGTCAACTGAACTTTCTTATTCCCTACACCCAGCTATAAAAATATTCCAACTTATTAATGGAGGCATACCTATCTAGTGACAGAAGTCTAGAAATTTTGTAGTTACAACACAACTCGTTCTCAACTTCAACCAATTAGCAGTCACTACAATGTTCTTTCATTTTTCACCCACTAAGTATTTAAACATTCTATTCCATCCTGTAAGGTTTTCAGTGGTTACGTCCTCTGAAGTGAACTGCCCATACTTTCTTTGAAGTCTGTTCTTAGTCTGGAAGCTTTTCTGAAACCTTTTCACTTTGGGTGACCCTGCTGGCATTTGAAATACCAGTGACATAGTTTCAGCATCACAGCAACACAGAAGCCACCACAGTACGACAAACTGAAAGACAAGTGGTAGTTCCAGGAGAAGGACATCATCCTTGGTAAAGTGGAGGGGCAGTAAACAAGAAGGCCCTCAATAAGATGGATTGGCACAGTGGCTGGAACAACGGGTTCACGCGCAGGAACATCTGTGAGGATGGCACAGGACCAGGGTAGTGTTTTGTTCTGCTGTACAGAGGGTTGCTCTGGGTCAGAACTGACGCATGAAGAAACACAGGGAAGAAAGTAATGTGACAACAGAGGCAGCTATTGGAGTGATTCAGTTATATGCCAATGAAGGCTTGCAACCACCAAAGCCTAGGGATAGGCAAGTAAAGATTTTTTCCCTAGAGCCTGGCCAGCACCTTGGTTTTGGACTTCGAGCCTCCTGAATTGTAAGAATAAATGCCTGTTGTTTTAAGCCACCTAGTATGTGGCAATTTGTTAATGACAGTTCAAGAGAACTAATAAATACATCAGATTTAAAATAAAATTAGAAATATACCTTGATGAACTGAGGGGTAGCTAACCTGACAGTAGCTACAAAACACACTCTGTCTTCATATGAAGGCCTATGTGTACGTTGTATAGTTCCTTCAAAACCATTGTGAGCCGGAGTAGAGACTGAAACAATAAAGAAAGCTGTATCACTGTAATGCACCTAGTTTTTATAATGCCCAACTTCTATGTACTTAAGAGTATAAAAGATTATCAAGTTAAAATTACTTTATAAGAACATTTTTAACTTACCACTGTTTAAAGATTTAAAATTTCCTATAAATTTCACATATTCATAAGTTGATGGTTCCTTTGGGTCTATTGTTCCCCGAAGCATATGACAACAGAATTCTAACTGATTTTTTGCTGAAATAAAACAAAAATATATTTCAAAGAAATGTTCTGTTATCCTTCTGATGCTAGCACCTTTGTCTCTACCTTAAGCAGCCTTTACTATCTCCTCTAAATTGGGGCCACACCATGGTTACCTTTTCCTCCTTTGGTTCCTTCCTCCCTACTTTGAAATTTGCTCAGGTTTCCCATGGCTAAAAAAAAATAGTTGTTCATGCTACTCTTTTTAATATCAAAGATCTCCTTTGTTTTCATTATCTGCTCCAGTTTCCACACACTAGTCACCCTTAATTAGGTTTTGTGGCTCTTTCCCACTCTACAGAAATTACTCTCCTAGAGATTTCCAACATTTACACCATTAATTTCAAAGGTCTTTCCTCACTGCTCCCACCTTTTAAAACCTACACTTCTTCATTTCCAATGCACGAAACTTACTTTCCTAAATCATTGACTATACCTATCTCTTTTGCTAGTACAACTTCAAACTGAATACTCACAAAGTTTCTTTTAGCCTTGATCTCTTGCTATCCCATGAATATATTAGCCTTTGTAAAATTTTTACACCTATTTCTCTTTCCCCAATGACAGCATTTCACGTAAGACAAAGTCTCCTATCACTGCTTGTCTTAGGACATTTATACTTAGAGTTTATACTTAAACCCAAAATGTGTGAAAATGAATTTAACCTTTCTTCCTAAATTATCTTTTCTCTTTATCCTATTTGTCCTAATCTCCCAAGTTAAAACCACCATTTAATTTTTCCTGTTCTTTTCCCATCACACGATCCAAATCTCATCTGTAGCTGTTGTTGTTGAAGTGCCTTCAAGTTGATTCGAACCTGTTGCCACCACAGGGTGCAATGGAACCAAATGCTGCCTGGTCCTGTGCCAGCCCAACAATCACTGCTATGCTTCATTAAGCTCACTGTCGCATCACTTGTGCCAATCTCACTGTCGCATCACTTGTGCCAATCCACTTCTCTTTTTTGGCTAACCTTCTACATTACCAAGAATTATATCAGAGATTGGTCCCTCCTGATAACATGTCTAAAGTCGGTAAGATGAAGTCTTGTCACCTTCCCTTCTAAGGATTCTCTCTTCTACAAATTGTGTTAGAATGTGTAACGAGGACCTGGAAAAGCTCTCAAAAAATAACTTTTTCCAACTTAGCATGCACACTACCAATTTATGCAGGCTGAAATCACTTTGCATCTAGATAACTTAATACCCACACTCATGCAGCCTTGTCTATTAGTCTTAAAACAATGCATCATCATACTTTTGTGTCATTATTATAATAGCTGGCTTTATCAGCTATGCCAATAGGTTCAAAATCTAACTATCTTCTCCACACCTTTCTCACTGATGAACTCTGTCCACCAAGAGACTGTGCCTAACATCAAGTCTTATTAAGTGTATCTACTTAGTACTCAATTATACTCCTTCCTCTCCTTTTTTTCTTCCATTTGCTAGAATTACACTTTTACTTTTTGTCTTCCGTCTGGTTCACTTTAAAAATTTCCACCTGAGTGATTTCCACCCATTCCCAGATCAGTGCAGTGGTTTTTCATTGTGTAAAAAATACCAATCAAACCCCAAAGGATAAAATATTAGACTCCTCTATGTGGAGAGCAAATGTTTTGAGAATGATGAGGGAAATGAATGTACAAATGCGCTTTGCACAATTGATGTTTGTACGGATTGTGATAAGAGTTGTATGAGCCCCTAATAAAATGATTAAAAAAAATTAGACCCCTCACCTCCTATTTCCTTCTTTAGAGAAAAGCCTTCCCACCTGCATCACCTGACTTTCGTTATGGCCAAAACAAACTACTCACAAAAATTGAATTTTCCTCCAATTTCCCTTCCATATTTTAATATGTTTACTTCTTTGGCCTGAATTTTCCTCCCTAGGAGAACTCATTTTTTTTAAATGTATCAGTTGTTTAACTAGAGGGTCAGTTAGTCATTTGATCCATACTTTTCCCTATCAAAAATTATTGTGGCCAGAAGTACCTCTGACTTTGGATGTAGGAGCCTAATGTCTGTCCTTCTGCCTGGGGCTTATATTCAGTTCTGCAGCCAATACTGTCCTTATGAAGGTTTAGGGCCTATAAAACATATTCCTTCTCCTTTGACAACCTATGCTACCCCCAAGGATTCTACTCTTTAATTCTCCTCTCATTGTTCTATATACTTACTTCAAGCTATGCCATTCAGTCCTATGACTGGACATACTATTTACAGGTTTATTATTGACCTCTATGTCTATTGAATATTGCCCAAATCACTCTCCTGAGCACGAGATGAGAGTGGCTTACTGTTGTTGCCTTGAGTGGATTGCAGCTCATGGTGATCCCATGTATGCAGAGCAGAACTGCTCCAGAGGGCTTCAAGGCAAGGGACCCATTAGAGGCAGATTGCCAGGTCTACCTTTTGAGACAGCTTTGGTGGGTCTGAATCACCAACCTTTCCATTAGTCCTGCATTTAACCATTTGCAACACTCTAGATGCTTAAAATGGTCTAATCAACCTCAAAAAAACTTTTACACAAATATAATACAGGTTTCAAATGGATTGCCTGTCTCTAGCTTTTCTCAACTCCTCTTGACAGACTATCCTTTCTAAACAAACATGTATGTGGTTGTTATTGTATATTGTCAAGTTGATTCCACTCAAAGTGACCCTATGTGGTAGTGTAGAACATCCCCACAGATCCATATCCTAGGCTGTAATATTTATGGCAATAAATCAATGTAATATCTATGGGAATAAAATAAATAGGTATTTTCTTCCATTTTTCAATAAACCTTTAAAGTCCCCATTCTCTCTCTCTCTCGCTCTCTCTCTCTCACACCCCTACATGTTTGTTTGAGGATGTATGTGTGTATGTGTGTGTGTTTATCTCAAATATTGGGTATCTAGCATGCCACAGAGTTTGAGTGTCCTAATAAAAGAAAAAACTTTTAAGATTATTAACATTAGTTTTATCAGATATCAAAATAAAACAAAAAACTTTGAGAAGAGTAATGAAGATATCTAATGGTTAAATATTGTTAACAACCTTCCAAAACACCAAGAATAAATATATACAGTAATATAATGAAGAAAATGTGGTGTTTTGGTCAAATTAACTTGTCCAATGAATCTAGTAGAAATGTCTGATTCTATCATATTATTTTGTACTTCTTGATGGCCGGGATTATTTATTACTATTCATAGCATTTTTAATAACAGAAAAATAGCCTGGCTTATCAGCTATATCTCAAAAATTACTGTTTAATTCAGTTTGATTAGTAAAGTTTCTTCCATTTAGTAACTAACAAAGAAATTAAAAAGTTTTAGTTTCTCTACATTTTGAGTGTCTAATTGGTTAAGGAAGGGGAGGTTTGAGAATTCTAATTTCTCATTTCAAGTAAAATAGGATTTTATTTAAAAATTAATACTACCAGATTATACCATGCAAGATGGAATTTGAAGAAGTGAACATAGTATAGGGTTACTATGAGTCAGAATTGACTTGACGGCAGTGTTCTTTTCTTTTTTAATGGTGGTCTTGTTTGTTTAATATGATGTCGTAAGTTAATCGAGCTAACTTATGTTTGTCATAAAGTTGTAAAAGATAAATACCGCCCATCAATTATGAAATTTAACTTTCTGCTTAATAGCCACTATTACTTACATTTTAAATATTCGGGAGTTAATGAATCACTTTCCAGCAGATGGGTAGACAGTATTTTATAAACCTCTGAATGTTCCCCCTCTGGGATAAAATTAAATATACTTTGATCCACAAGATCAGACTGAAAAAGAAATTTTTTATAAAGTAAAATAACTTTAATAATTTAAGAGTACATAGTCACTACTGAAACATTAGAAATGCATATGGATCACTTAATTATCTGAAGCAAAAACAAACTGACAAATTTTAAGTGATAGGACATCTGAAAACACGAAACAAGCTAAGAAATTGACATTACTTTCATACCTTTTATGCTAGTGAGATTAAATCCTTATCAATATGACTTTGAGAACATGATGATTTGCAAAGCTATTTCACTAAATTTGTAACACAAATGCTTTGACATATAAGCATTAATTTAAAAAATAAGAGTCTATTAGAAAATTGCTTGCCTAAGAGCCATACACTTAGTGCATATTCAAACCTCTAGTCTACTATAGGGGTATGGCTACTACAAAGGACTAGCTATAGGAGATACAACGAAGAAATTTGACTTTGGTGTCATTTCAGTCGCTTTCTTTAAGGAGACAGGCATCTATCCTATATACCATTGTCAAAATGTCTTGGTTTTAGCAAACTGGAGGAAAACAAAACAAAACAAAACAGGGCAAGCAATATGAGGTTTTTAAAATCCTATGAAAAAAGGAATTAAAAGATAGTGGAATTTTAAAAAAGAAACATTTTTTGAAGCCCCCTTGTATGGTAAACCTTACGATCCTTGCTAAAATGCAGCTTTTAGTCAAGATTCATTCCATAGCAATTTGACAGACATCAAGCTGGCTTTTTGTGCCCGAGACCATGGAACCAAAAATGTACAAGCTTCTAACCCTTTTAAAAAATATTAACAACAGCATTATCATCAACTTTACATTTCCTACAGGATCCTGTCCATTCTACTTGGTCTATGTATTATTTACAAAATGCTCTGCAGCATGCTGGATGTTTGTATCTCAAGGATTGTGGCAGCAGGGGTGGCCAGCAGGCACGTGGAAAGGAGCTATGCAAGAAGGGCTCAGGGTGTTTACATTCAAAGACATTTCACTTTTATTTTGTTTAATTGTCAACATCTGCATGAATTTCTTTTAAAGAGCTCCACTGTTGAAAGAAAAAGGGAAAGGAAACAAAACCCATTTCTGAGTCACTGGTGACTGGGGGAAGGAGGAAAAGCTTGTTTTACTACTCTCCCACAAGCCACTCCTTCAGTTTTCCTTCCGTCTTTAGTCTTTCAATGTTTAGTGACTCTTCCACTAAATTATGCATAATTCACTCTCTCTGGATGTCATTTTTGTGTGTGTGCTAATAACTTGAGTCCTGTCTGGTACGAAGCATATGACATGATTTTGTCATAGAAGGAGTAGAAAATAAACAAATACATAAATTTCCTAATTTCCCAAATTAATAAAGCATTTGTAAGGTTACTAGCCATAAGTTAGTTAAAAATGTGCATAAATTAGTTTCACTAGTATGAGGTGAGAGAGAGTGTTTTCTAGTGTTTTCCCCGGGAGTTTATTAAAGCAGTTTTATATGTTGTTGTTGTCAGGTGCCATAGAATTGGTCTGACCCACAGCGAACCCTACGCACAACAGAACAATACACTGCCTGGCCCTGTCCCATCCTCATAGCTGTTCCTGTACTTGAGCCTATTGTTGCAGTCACTTTGTCAATCTACCTCGTTAAGGACTGTCCTCTTTTTCACTGCTCCTCTACTTTATCAAGCATGACGTCTTTCTCTCCAGAGGTTTGTCTCTCATGATAACATGGACAGCCTTGCCTCAAAGGAACATTGACCATACTTCTTTCAAGACAGATTTGATTGTCCTTTTGGCAGTCGATGGTACTTTCATTATTCTTTGCCAGCACCACAACTGAAATGCATCACTTGGGTCAGGTACACCTAGTCTTCAAAGTAACATCTTTGTTTCTCATTACTCTAAAGAGGTCTTAGGTAGCAGATTTCCCCAATGCAATGCATCAGTTGATCTGTGACTGACTGCTGTTTCCATGAGCACTGATTGTGGATGTAAGCAAGGCAAAAAATCCTTGACAATTTCAATCTTTCTCCATTTATCAGGATCTTACTTCTTGGTCCAGTTGTGAGGATTTGGGTCTTCTTTACATTGAATTATAATCCATACTGAGATCAAACAGTGCAACCCTTGATATTCATCAACTTCAAGGTCTCCTCACTTTCGGCAAGGGAGGTTGAGCCTTCCACATACCACAGGCTGTTAATAAGCTTTCCTCCAATGTTGATGTCGAACCCTTCTTCATATAATCCAGCTTCTCTGATTATTTGCTCTGCACACAGACTGATTGAATATGGTGAAAGGATACATCCCTGGCTTCTACCTCTCCTGATTTTAAACCATACATCATACCCTTGTTCTGTTCCCACAACGATCTCTTGATGCATGCACAGGTTCCATATGAGCACAAGGAAGCATTCTGGAGTCCCCCCCTTTTTTCCCCAAGGCTATTCATAGTTTTTTATGACCCACACAGTCAAATGTCTCTGATGGCCAAAGAAACACAAATAACATCTTTCTGGTGTGCTCTACTTTCAGCCAAGATCCATCTGACATCAGCAATGATAACCCTTGTTCCACATCCTGTTCTGAATACAGCCTGAACCTCTGGCAGCTTCCTGTAAATGTCCTGCTGCAACAGTTGTTTGATGGTTCTCAGCAAAATTTTACTTGCATGTGATAGAACTTAGCTTTCTGTTGGGTCACAATTCTTTGGAACGGGTACAAATAGGGATTATTTCTAGTCAACTGACCAAGTAGCTATCTTCCATATTTCCTGGCACAAACAAGTCAATGCTTCCAGTGCTTCTTCGGTTTGCTGAAACATTTCAATTAGTGTTCCATCAATTTCTGGGTCTTTTTTTGTTTTTTTTTGGCTAAGGCTTTCAGTATAGTATTTCAAGATAGACCTTGAAATTTCCTTTTTGACTATACAGTACATGCAAAGCCATTCCTCCTGATTGTGTCATTCCTAGCATAGTAAACCATCTAGGTTTGATTCAAAATGGCCAATACCAGTCAACTTGAGTTCACTACACCTAGAATGTTGATCTTCATGCATTTCAATTAATTTTTGATGACTTCCAATTTTCCTAGATTCATACTTCGTATATTCCAAGTGCAGACTAGTTGATTTTTGCAGTGATTTCTCCTTGAGTCATGCCCCATCAGCAAATGATGGTGCTGAAGGCCCTACTCCCACAGGCTTTTTACCTCATCCACATCATTATCATTATGACTGATGCTACTGTAAGAAGGCAGCTCCTCTTTAGTCATCTGTTGAGTGCCTGCTGACCTGAGCGGCTCGTCTTCTGGCACTATGTCTGATAATGCTCTGCTTCTATATATGGGTTTTCAATATATGACAATGATTCACTGCTATCCATAAGGTTTTCAAGTGGCTAATTTCTCTGAAGGGGACAGCCTGTTCCTTTTTGTAGTCTGTTCTTAATCTACGAGCTCTGCTGAAATCTGTTCATCTTGGATGACCTTGGTGGTATATGAAAGACCAGTGACATAGCTTCCAGCTTCACAGCAACACATAAGCCACAAACTGACAGACAAGTGCTGGTCTCATATTTAGATCCATTGTGATTTTTGTATGTGGGGCAAAGTATACATCAAGCTGGTTTTCACATATGAGAAGTAGTCAACTGTTAAAGCAGCAGTTGTTGAAAACCCTATCCTTTCTCCATTTAATTCAATTTGCAATTTGGTTGAAAATCAACTGATTATTTATATGTAGGTCTACTTCTAGACTCTCAATTGTGTCCTACTGATCTATTTGCCTATTTTTATGCTAATATCTCACTTAACTTAACTGTAGCTTTCTAAGTCTTGAAAGCAGTTTAATTCTCCAACTTTGTTCTTTTTTCACGTCATTTTGACTATTCCAAGCCCTTTAATTTCAACTTAAGTTTTAAAATCAGCTTGACAGTTTCTACAAAAACCCTGCTGGGATTTTGACTGGAATCCTGTTGAAGCCACAGATTTATAGAAAACTGATAATATGAACAATGAGTTTTCTGATACATAGGATTTCTCTTCAGTTACATGTTTTAATCATTCACCGTGAAATTTAGTTTTCAGAGTCTAAGTTGTAGAATTCATTATGCTTTTGTTCCTACTATAAATGATACTGTTTTCAGACTTGCAAGTTTTTACTGTCAGTTTACAAAAGTAATGATTTTTGTACATTGTTCTGGAACCTTGCTAAGCTCACTTGCTAGTTCTAGATGCTTTTTTGTAGATTCCATAGGATTTTCAAAGAGATGAGCATTTCGTGTGACTAAGGATAATTTTGCAATCTGGGTGTCTCTGTTTTACCTTTGTGCACTGGTTATAACTTACACTACAATACTGACCAGAAGTGGTGAAAGCAAACAATATTACTCAATCACCTTTAAGTATGGTGATTGCTATATGTTTTCCATTGATACCTTTTTAAAAAGACTGAGGAAGTTCCCTTTAGTTATAACTTTGTGAGAGTTTTCATCAGGAAAAGACAGATGCCGATGATTTTAAATGCTTTTCCTGCATCTCTTACGATGACGCTACCATTTATCTTTTTGATCTGTTAATACAGTGCACACATGGGGTCACCATAAGTCAGAATCAACCCCACAGCAACTAACCACATGTTAAATTACATTCCCTGACTTTTCAAATAATCATACAGCCCACCTTCCTGAGATAAATCAAGCCTGCTCATGAAGCATTATTATTTTTAATATATTGCCAGTTTTATATTTTCTAAAATTCTGTTCAGAAATTTTAATCTTTATTCACGAGGGTCTTAGGTGCTGGGTGCTGTCTTAACAAATACTACCACCAGTGGGTGGCTTTAAAGAGCATATTTTAAGTCTCTCGTGTCACAGTTTGGGAGGGTCTATGTCCAAGTCAGAGCACTGGCTCTATGAAGGTCCTTCCTAGTCAGGACCACGAGGCATTTCTTGACATTTCTTTTTTTTAAATCATTTTATTGGGGGCTCATACAATTCTTATCATAATCCATACATCCATCCATTGTGTCAAG